GACCATGGCCTATATCAGGCCACCTTAGTCTCCAGACTGACATCGTTGCTCTTCAGTACTTTGGAGAGGTTTCTGACAGTAGACTTTCCCAATGCAATTCATCTTTTCATTTCCTGGCTGCTGGGATCAAGAATGTTGATTGTAGAGCCAACAAAACGGAAGCTGTCAACAATCTCAATCTCCTCACCATCTATAATTATGCTGCCAATGGGCCCAGTGGTGAGAAGATAGATATGTCAAATCTGAGGTTGGGGCTTTCTTACAAGGTATGTGGGGTTTGCGGAAGTGAACATTCATGTAGCTCAACAAATCTACAGTCTGTTTTAGGCAGATTAAAGTGAGTGGACCCTGTTTCATGTTGGAAATTTTGAGTCCTTGTTGTCACATGTCAAAAATAATTTCTTGTTATGAAGAGTTGAAAAGAAATATTTTTAGATCTAAAATGACAATCATTTCCCACATATTTTCTACACTTAGATAAAAAAAGTAGGAAATTTTAGGAAAATATCAAATAATCAAAACACTTTTTCATGGAAAGGATTCTATATTTCATTTAATTATTTTGAGTCCTAGTCAACTCAACAGCACTTAACAACACTATCTTAATTTAAAAATGTTTTAAAACATCAGTATAGAGAAATTCACATACTTATACTACTTCAAAAATCACAAAGGCAGCATCAACAGTATCATATTTCCACACTCTGAAAAATAATAGGGTTTTAAAAAGGAAGAAAATAAAACAGCACTTATACATGCAAAGGAAAAGAATTAATTAAAAAATAGTATATAGAGAAAAATTTACCCCATTAGTTCTTTTTGCCATAGAGACGACTACTGTCCACAAAGAATACCATCCTTTTGTTAATTATAATGAAATTGTTTGTTGGATTTGTCTTCAAAAGCCAAATTTTTCTAATTCCCAGATCTCTTTCCCTTAGAGAATCAAATAATTCTACATAGTTAACAACAAGAATTTTCCTGAAGTTCTTCTCTTGGATATCCCAGTATCCCAGTGACACTGGTCATTAACAGGTGCTCTTAACAGTTGCAGAAGTAAGATAATACATCACAGTTCTGTTGAGAGGTACATGTTCACACTTGTTCTCTCCCTTCATAACTTGGGCAAATGCAGCAGGTGCACTCCAATCTCACATAGTTTACTCCATCTAGTTCTGCTATTATTGCCCAGAATCTATGTCCTTTCCCTGCCCTTTCCCATCTTACTGCTGCCCCATTTCCACCCTGAGAGATCAGACTCAATCTTAAGAGATGCCCCAGATTAGCATGTACATGTATATGTGCAAATCTAAATGTCCAATATATTTAATAGAAAATTAGCTGGTTTCAAGTATAAACAGAATATCATGTATATGTATATGTGTGTGTGTGTGTATATAATATTCCTGTTTAGCTTTTTCTTTATACATAGAAAGTATTTCTGTTTAGATTCGTGTATAATAGATATACTACTCTTGTTTAGAACCATGTATAATATATATAATATTCCTGCTTTGCTCATATGTACAAAATTTTCATATTATACATTGATGTTGTTGTTAGGTACCATCAAATCAAGTATAACTCATAGTGACCCTATGAACAACTAACCTGACTTATCCTTGACCATCACATCATCTCTGACACACTAGAGCCCACTGCTTAAGTCATCATACCAGTCCTTCTCATTGGGGGTCTTCCTCCCCTTTTCTGACCCTCCATCTTTACAAGCATGATATAAATATAAGGTGGCCAGGTGGTACAATGTGTATTGTACTGAGATGCTAACCTAAAGATCAGCAGTTCAAATCCCCTACTTGCTCCAAGGTAGAAAGATAGACAATCCTCTTCTGTAAAAATGTATAGCCTGAGAAACCCAAATGATGGTTGGAAATTACTTGATGGTTGTAGGTTTTGTATATACTATATCGTTATTGTTATGTACCACTGAGTTGTAATCAACTCATAGCTGATGCTCCAACAGGTTTTCAAAGGCAGCAAATCACACTGCAGGAGACCGCCTATCTTTTTCCTATGGAGCAACGGTGAGTTCAAACAATGTGCTTTTGTGTTGGCAGCTCAGCCCCTTACCACTAAGCTACCAGACCATATATCTATCTCTATCTCTATCTATTATCTATCTATCTATCTATCTATCTATCTATCTATCTATCTATCTATCATTGTTGTTGTGTATCATAGGGTTGAAATCAACCCATAGCTGACCTTCTGGTGGGTTTTCAGAGGCAGTTAATCATACAGGAGGAGACTGACCATACTTTTTCCATGGGTGGCTGGTGGCCTTGAACTGTGTACCTTCAGGATTGCAGCACAGCGTTTTGTACTAGGCCACTAGATACAGATGTATAGTTTGTGTGCATGTGTGTGTGTGTGTATACACACACACATATATGAATTATATATATATGAATTCATATATGTTATATATACACATGCATATCTATTTTTCTATCTCATAGCAATATTCATACACTTACTCAGACAAAGACCATCCAGTTTCAGACATTCTTCCACTTACCACAGAGGGTGGTCTGAGAGAGTTGTTCACAGTTATCATCTATCCTCATTGCTTTGTACTTCTGAACATGGCAGCCTCAGTGGTGCAGAAATGGAGCAAAGACTTTACAACTTAAATCCTTAGGTCTGCCATTTACTATTTGTTTGACCTTGAGAAAAATCACTTGAGCTTTCAGAATAAGAATGTTCTTATTTCCAAAATGAAGATATTAGTGCCTATTTTATGGAAGTGCAAAGTTTTGAGGAAATGTAAATGGATGAGTGCTACCTGGTGCTGACAGATAAAGAGTAGATATTATGAAGGTGAGGATAAGAGGGAAGAGGAGAAAAGGAGAGAAGTAAGGACTATGCTGGGTCTCACTTCCTGAATGCCTTCTGTATTGTAGAATTACTTAGCCAGGCTTAGCAGAACATGATGTTAGCCACTATTTGAGAAGTATTAAACTAGAAGCAGGGGGACGAAAAGTAGCTGGGGGTGGAGGAGAAGATCCCATGAAAGCAAGCACTTGCTATGCTTAATACACAATTATTATTACTATTATTATTATTATATGTGAGTTTATCTAAACACACACACTCATTTATCTTCCCCACTGGGAAAGGGACATTTATTGCACAATAGTGAATTCAGTTTCTTTGGAGCATCCCAGGCCAGTTTTTGGTTGCTTATCAAGACCAGACTTCACAACGCAGAATGAACACATTCCTGTGTCCCCCACAATGGCTAATCATAGAATGTCCAGTCACAGCAGTAGGTCTCAGCTGTTAGCTCCCCCTCGAAACTCCAGTAACTGTGAGATACCCCATAGATCATGGAACAAATGACCATCTACTTTCTGGAGTCGGAGTCAGAATAAACAGCCAAGACACTAGCAGAGCTGCTGATGCAGTCTAAGCTATCCCAAGCACAGGGAAGAAGGCAGAAGCTCCAGTTTACCTTCAACATACCCCACAAAGTAAAGAGCCAGTAAGGGCTTGCCTAAAATACCATTCTGTTTGTAAACGCATGTTATGTGCCATACCACAAAGCAATTCCATTGCAAAGCCTGAAGGTAAATGACTAACGTTAAAGGTGGCCAGTGTATCATTTCTGTGATGATTCCACAGGCGTCAATTAAACAGGAAAAAGACCTGTTCATTGCCTAGTGAGCTGAAGTCAATGGGTGATAGAACACAAGTGATCAAAACCATAAAGAAATGTAGCAGCCCTCTCCCTGCTCAAAAGCAATCAGGGCCTATGGAGACAATGAACCTGGAAGACTTCCAAAAAAGAAGGCAAGGCAGGAAAAACCTGCATTGGAAGCCAGCATTGCTCCTCTCCAAACATAGAAAGCAAAGATCTGGGGTTTCATAAGGTCACCTTCTCAGGCAGCAAAAAGGCAGACTAGTTCAGGGGATGCTTGGGAATTTGCCTGGTAGACTAGCAATGATATGCAATTGTTAGGTCTCCAAGTGAGAGAGGATTGGCAGTGGTTGGTCCTCTGTTCTTAGGAGTGTTTTCCAACTACCAGCAGCACAGTGTTTTGCCCAGGATGCTAAGGTGAGATCACTGAAGTCCAGACATCCTTCCCTAGAATTAATGCTTTAACCAGCCTTTGAGTAGAAGGAAGAGGGCATACTTGACCCATCAAACAAAGTCATGCCAAGGTATAAAATATTCAGCAGAGCAGAAGTGCCTTTCAAGGCTGCAGTTCTAGATCAAGCAGGCAGACACCTGTGTGTATTATAGACAGAGCCTCAAACAGCACCACCTCATCACATCTAATGACTGTCTGTGGTGATAGCTTACACTCTCTATTTCTGGCTTTCCCAACAACAAGAATATGTATCTTCATACTCAGCCTTGGTTCCGAACCTATTTCTTTTTGCTGTTCTATTTTGTTTCTTTCTTCAATATGCGAGGTCAGGTAAATTAGAAAGGAAATATTTTCATTTCAATTTTTTTTAAATCTAAAATTGTTAGTGATTTAAAAAATAAAAATTTACCCTTGATCTTGGCTTTTCCTCTTTAAGTAAATGCACCCACCACATGCACTGGCCCAACAGTAAGAATATAGTTAGAATGAGACTAAACCAACTGTCAACGGGTTGATTACGACTGGTACTGTCTAGTGTACTAATAATGTCTCCCACAGAGCAGCTGGTAGGGCTTGAACCCCTGACTTTTTGGTTAGTAGCTGCATTCTTTAACCACTGCGCGCACCAGGGCTCCTGTAGAAAGAAAGACTATCAAGTAACATAACAAAGCAGCTGAGGTTCCATTCTTATGAGTCCCCTTTGCCAATGATGCAGTGTACTTGAATCTAAAGTGCTGCTTCAGTGTTGTCTTTGGTTTGGAAAGAAAAGGGGGTATAGTTAAGGTCATTGACAATCATTTTCTCAACACAAAAGAAAAGCAGCACAGACAATTAACACTAAAATGGCATAATTAAACATAGTAGGAACAAGTAGCAATAGAATACCTGGGATTGCCAGATTGGAAAGGGGGACGTTGTGGAGGTGAGGGGGCAGCGAGGCCATCCAGTCGGCATTGCAGACGTCCGATGATGTCTTTGTCCCGCTGGGGTTCGGGGAGCAGATTGTCCCCATTCTGAGTTTCCTCCTTGCTTTCCTAACTGCTAGCATCCCTCTTAGAAACAGTCAAGGTTTAGCCCAGTGCTACTCAGCGATCATCACTGCCTGGGCTCTTTTAGGCATTTCAGAGACACCTTTTGTCACGTCTGTCTTTTCCAAAATGCTTTTTTTTTTTCTTTCCAGGGAGATGGGACAAACAGTTGTCTCTCTCTACCCTCCAGCACTTGCAGTCCTCAACCTCCTCCACCCAGTCCAAGCTCCACTCCCTTAATCTGCTCAGTTCCAGCCACGCTAAACTTCTTACGTTCCCGTCTGGAGCCAGAAGGAAGGCAGACTCCCGGAGGTAAATCTCACGGAGACTGAAGGTCCGCGGAGCAGCCACGCCCGGCGCCTCTCACATGACAGGTGCCCTCACAGCACACACACATGGCTGAGGGTCCACACACATGTGTGCGCCGGGCACACCACCTCTAGTCTGGTTCAGGCTCGTATATATGTCACTGGCCTGGCACAGGAAAGTGTCGCCTGCCTGCCAAGCGCCCCCCAGCTTCTCAGCCGCACTCTTCCTGCCCAGTGGCTTATAGAGAAGCGCTCAGAAGTGCAAACGGCAACGCGGGCCCTCCCGGCAGCCCCGCCCCGCACTACCAGGCAGAAGTGCCGGGTAAGACGGCCTGTGATTGGTTGGTGGCGGAGCGCGCTCTGATTGGTTAGCGCCCTCTTGGGCGGTCCCTAGGCTGAGCTCTCTTTGCTCCCTTGCTCCTACCCTCTTCTCGCTGTTACTCTTGTGTAGACAGACCCTCTTGGCTGCAGGGACTGCAGACCTGGAAACTCACAGGCATTGATTGTTGAACCTCAGCTTGATTTTCTTTCCTTCGCTTTTTCAGAAGCCAACACTCATATATTAAACGTAACTAAAATTGATTCCCTTCCTTTTATCTCTTTGTCTCTTTCTGACAATTGCACAGAAAGCAAGTAGATTGCATTTTCAGTAAACCACAGAGGCAGCCAAAAAAGCTGAGAATAAAAAGCAGAGCGGGTGGCATAGCTTCTGTTTGCCTGGAAATATCAAGGATGGTTTGTTACTCAAGCATTACGTAATTAAGGTTCACCTAGACTGTAGTTTACCTACACCTTCGCTGTAGATTAGTGCATTTCACAGGTCATATAATAATAATTTTTTATATTTGCATTGTCCTGTCGTTTGGAACCCTTTATAAAAATTATTTGACTCTCTTTGCTTTTCACAGTGCCATCATAAGGTAGGGAGGGTTAATAGGTGAAATGGAAGTCCAAGATCATTCAATGAACAATTCTTTCTGTTAGCTCTATTTGAGAATTCCAGTTTGGATGAAGACCCTCAAGCTTGGAGACTTCTAGGTCCATAAACTTATTTCCCATTCCATTCTTTGCAATAGTTCTTACTCTTTCATTAGGTACATTTCCTTGGTAGAAAGCTAGAGTCTCTACTGATAAAGCTTTTGCATATTTAAAAATACAACATCTTGGCCAAAGGCAAATCAAGAAAAGACCCTGTCCTGGAAGGTGGGAACTTGGAGGACTTCTGCTCAAACAACTCCCAGGAATGTAAGACTTCCTGGCTTATGGGAAAAGGAAATATAGCCTGTGCTTTAGCAAGAATCAAGTTACAATAGGGAGCCCTGGTGGCTTGTTGTTATGTGCTGTCCGGTCACCTGTGACTCATAGCAACTCTATGTACAATAACTCTGAAGCAAGCCCTGTCCTGAGCCAGTCTTACTGACTCCAACATACCTACTACCTCCATTGCCCTAATCACTGTATCAATCCTTCTCAACCAGGATCTTCCTCTCCATTCTTCTGAACATCATGTCCCTCTCTAAGGATCCCTCCCTTCTGGCCACATGCCCAAAGATATTTAAGATGGAGCTTCAAAATCCTAGCCTCCAAGAAGAAATGTAGCTTTACTCTCTCCAAGTCAGACCAATTAGTTTTCTTAGCACTCCACGGTATGTCCAAAACTCTTCTCCAGCACCACAGCTCAAAGGCATCAATTATCTTTCTATCAACCCTATTCACTGTCCAACTCTTTGATGCATAGCACGTAATTGCGAAGACTATAGCCTGGATCAGGTGCACCTTAGTCTCCAGTCTGACATCGTTGCTCTTCAGTACTCTTGAAAGCTCCCTCACAGCCGACTTTCCCAATGCAATCCATCTCTTGATTTCCTGGCTGCTGTTACCAAGAGTGTTGATTGTGGAACCAAGTAAATTAAAACTGTTAACTATCTCAATCTCTTCACCGTCCATACTGATGCTGCCAATTG